AGCAAGAGCGTGACAGCGCCGTGTTGCTCTGATCTGTCGGTGCAGGGCTAACAAATTGACTTGTCTTTTGGAACTTGGCTCAGGAGAAATTCTATGTATGTGTAATATACGGAAGATCAGAGGCTATAAAGGCCAGTGGCTGCAGGGATTCTTCTCCTTTATCCACTCTCTCCTCCTCTTCCTGTTCCATACACTCAGCATTTTGCACTCATCTATTCCACGGTGTTTGGTGCTGGTGTCATGTGACTGTGGGGTACTGGGAAGAAACATTAGCGGCCGTTTCCTTTGTGGATGCAGCAAGGTCTAAGGACAGCGGCGATGATCCAGGACACTCCACTTTCTACGATATTTATGGACTTTTATCGACATTTATGGACATTTGTATCTGCTGCTTAGTCCTCTAAAATAACTGCTGTTGTTGTTTAGGGCTATACAAGAATACATAAATCATAACATGAACATACAGGGGAAACTTGTCAAATTAGAGTGTCGTTATTTGTGGCTGAGTGGATAGCTCTCTCGCTTCTCAGTAAGAAGGTCCTGAGTTCGAATCCTGGTCAGAACAGAGCCTTTCTGAGTGGAGTTTGCATGTTCTTGCAGATGTCTGCGTAGGGGTTTCTCCGGGTTCTCCGGTTTAAGATAAGATAAGATTTTAAGAGTGTCATCGTTGCACATTACAGCAGAGAAAAAGAAGGAAATGAGACTCAGATTTCACACATTAAACAGTCTATTATTTAGGATAATAGATAGTAAATTAAAATAGTAAGTAAAATTAAAATGATAATAAGTAAGGGATAACGTATATTACGCAGGTCATTATCGGAAAATAAGTACCGACAGGGCGAAGCGGACCCCGACACGCAGGGGGGTCCGCGGAGGGGTCTGCTTCCGCCCTGAAGGTACTTATTTTCCGATAATGATCTGCGTAATATATAATAACAATCAGAGCTGCCACCCAAGTCTCATGGCACCAGTCCCTCGCTGATCCTATGCAGGGGGTGGGTCCACAGGAAGATGGCTGCTCCGTGATAGAAGACATTGGCCTTGGTCTGTCAGCGGGGGCTTCAGGCAATGTGGGGTTAAGTGTCTTGCCCAGGGACACAACGAAAACAGACATCAGTGGGAGCAGGTGGCATGGGTCGTGGTGGGCTCGAACCCATGACCATTAGGTTCAAAGACCAGTGCTCTACCAACTGAGCTACTGTCGGCACGTGTCTCCTGTAGGTAATGATGACCGGAGTTTACGGATGGAAAAGACCAGGCCATGAACTGATATGAAATCCATCAAAGTTTGACTCAGCGGAGGATTTTGTGTTTATCTCTGCGTCGCCATGGCACCCGTATCCTTTATCAGTTGTTTGTTGTAACCGTCCCTAATGTGTTGTCCAGAGCTCGGTGCCTCTGTGGGTAATGGACGGCCCCAGAGAGTGACACGTCCCGCTCTCAAAGGCATTCAATCCCCTGGAAACACAGACTGACAGGATTCATTGAGCGTCGCAGATTGTAAACATACAGCCGTGGTCCTCCAAAGTGTACAGACACGGATACAGACACGGATACAGACACGGATACAGACACGGAAATGGAAACAGACACAGACACGGATATAGACACGGAAACGGACACGGATACAGACACGGATACAGGAACGGATACAGGAACGGATACAGACACGGATACAGACACGGAAACAGACACAGACACGGATATAGACACGGAAACGGACACAGACACGGATATAGACACGGAAACGGACACGGATACAGACACGGATACAGACACGGATACAGACACGGAAACAGACACAGACACGGATATAGACACGGAAACGGACACAGACACGGATATAGACACGGACACGGATACAGACACGGATACCGACACGGAAACAGACACAGACACGGATATAGACACGGAAACGGACACGGATACAGGCACGGATACAGACACGGATACAGACACGGAAACAGACACGGATACAGGAACGGATACAGACACGGAAACAGACACGGATACAGGCAAGGATACAGACACGGATACAGACACGGATACAAGCACGGATACAGACACGGACACAGACACGGATATAGACACGGATACAGACACGGAAACAGACACAGACACGGATATAGACACGGAAACGGACACAGACACGGATATAGACACGGAAACGGATACAGACACGGATACAGACACGGATACAGACACAGAAACAGACACAGACACTGATATAGACACGGAAACGGACACGGATACAGACACGGATACAGACACGGATACAGACACGGATACAGACACGGAAACAGACACAGACACGGATATAGACACGGAAACGGACACAGACACGGATATAGACACGGACACGGATACAGACACGGATACCGACACGGAAACAGACACAGACACGGATATAGACACGGAAACGGACACGGATACAGGCACGGATACAGACACGGATACAGACACGGAAACAGACACGGATACAGGAACGGATACAGACACGGAAACAGACACGGATACAGGCAAGGATACAGACACGGATACAGACACGGATACAAGCACGGATACAGACACGGACACAGACACGGATATAGACACGGATACAGACACGGAAACAGACACAGACACGGATATAGACACGGAAACGGACACAGACACGGATATAGACACGGAAACGGATACAGACACGGATACAGACACGGATACAGACACAGAAACAGACACAGACACTGATATAGACACGGAAACGGACACGGATACAGACACGGATACAGACACGGATACAGACACGGATACAGGCACGGATACAGACACGGATACAGACACGGATACAGACACGGATACAGGCACGGATACAGACACGGATACAGACACGGATACAGGCACGGATACAGACACGGACACAGGCACGGACACAGACACGGATACAGACACGGATACAGGCACGGATACAGACACGGATACAGGCACGGATACAGGCACGGATACAGACACGGATACAGACACGGATACAGACACGGATACAGACACGGATATAGACACGGAAACGGACACGGATACAGACACGGATACAGACACGGAAACAGACACAGACACTGATATAGACACGGACACGGATACAGACACGGATACAGACGCGGATACAGACACGGATACAGGCACGGATACAGGCACGGATACAGACACAGAAACAGACACGGATACAGGCACGGATACAGACACGGAAACAGGCACGGATACAGACACGGATACAGGCACGGATACAGGCACGGATACAGACACGGATACAGACACGGATACAGACACGGATACAGACACGGATACAGGCACGGATACAGGCACGGATACAGGCACGGATACAGACACGGATACAGACACGGATACAGACACGGATACAGGCACGGATACAGGCACGGATACAGGCACGGATACAGGCACGGATACAGACACGGATACAGACACGGATACAGGCACGGATACAGACACGGATACAGACACGGATACAGGCACGGATACAGGCACGGATACAGACACGGATACAGACACGGAAACAGACACAGACACGGATATAGACACGGAAACGGACAAGGATACAGACACGGATACAGACACGGATACAGACACGGATACAGACACGGAAACAGACACAGACACTGATATAGACACGGTAACGGACACGGATACAGACACGGATACAGACGCGGATACAGACACAGATACAGGCACGGATACAGACACAGAAACAGACATGGATACAGACACGGATACAGACACGGAAACAGGCACGGATACAGGCACGGATACAGACACGGATACAGACACGGATACAGACACGGAAACAGACACGGAAACGGACACGGATACAGACACGGAAACAGACACGGATACAGGCACGGATACAGGCACGGATACAGGCACGGATACAGGCACGGATACAGGCACGGATACAGACACGGATACAGACACGGATACAGGCACGGACACAGACACGGATACAGACACGGATACAGACACGGATACAGTTACGGATACAGGCACGGATACAGGCACGGATACAGACACGGATACAGACACGGATACAGACACGGAAACAGACACAGACACGGATAAAGACACGGAAACGGACACGGATACAGACACGGATACAGACACGGATACAGACACGGATACAGACACGGATACAGACACGGATACAGACACGGAAACAGGCACGGATACAGACACGGATACAGACACGGAAACAGACACGGAAACAGACACGGATACAGACACAGATACAGACACGGATACAGACACGGAAACAGGCACGGACACAGACACGGATACAGACACGGATACAGACACGGATACAGACACGGATACAGACACAGAAACAGACACGGAAACAGACACGGATACAGACACGGAAACAGACACGGAAACGGACACAGACACGGATATAGACACGGAAACGGACACAGACACGGATACAGACACGGAAACAGGCACGGATACAGACACGGATACAGACACGGATACAGACACGGAAACAGGCACGGATACAGACACGGATATAGACACGGAAACGGACACGGATACAGACACGGATACAGACACAGACATGGATACAGACACGGATATAGACACGGAAACGGACACGGATACAGACACGGATACAGACACGGATACAGACACAGACATGGATACAGACACGGATATAGACACGGAAACGGACACGAATACAGACACGGATACAGACACAGACATGGATACAGACAGACATAACAGATCCTTTAATCGTCCTGCAGTGGGTAAAATTTCAGTGTTGCATCGCCAAAACAGTAGGAATGAGCAGCACACAGCACAAGATAAATAAACAATACATATATACAAATATTTTAGCATAATAAGAAGCAAGTCTAAAATCTCTAACTTTTGCATAATAAGAAGTGAGTCAGTGAAGTGGCGTTTCTATGTAAACTTCAATAATAATAAACATATGTACACTGCTGAGACTGTATATGTTAAAAGTCAGTCTCCCCCTCTCCTCTGTGCCTCCTTCTCTCTCCTCCCCTTCTCCTTCCTCCCCACTCTCCTCCCCTTCTCTCTCCTCCCTTCTCTCTCCTCCCCTTCTCTCTTCTCCCCACTCTCTTCGCCCTCCTCTCTCCTCCCTTCTCTCTCCTCCCCACTCTCTACTCCCTCCTCTCTCCTCGCCTTCTCTCCTCCCAACTCTCTCCTCTCCTTCTCTCCTCCCCACTCTCTACTCCCTCCTCTCTCCTCTCCTGCTCTCCTCCCCACTCTCTACTCCCTCCTCTCTCCTCGCCTTCTCTCCTCCCCACTCTCTCCTCCCTCCTCTCTCCTCTCCTTCTCTCCTCCCCACTCTCTACTCCCTCCTCTCCTTCTCTCATCCCCACTCTCTACTCCCTTCTCTCTCCTCCCCTTCTCTCCTCCCAACTCTCTCCTCCCCACTCTCTACTCCCTCCTCTCTCCTCCCCTTCTCTCCTCCCTCCTCTCCTCCCCACTCTCTACTCCCTCCTCTCTCCTCTCCTGCTCTCCTCCCCACTCTCTACACTCCCTCCTCTCTCCTCCCCTTCTCTCCTCCCTTCTCTCCTCCCTCCTCTCCTTCTCTCCTCCCCACTCTCTACTCCCTTCTCTCTCCTCCCCTTCTCTCCTCCCAATCTCTCTCCTCCCCTCTCTCTCCTCCCTTTCTCTCTCCTCCCCTTCTCTCTCCTCCCCTCTCTCCTCCCCACTCTCTACTCCCTCCTCTCTCCTCTCCTGCTCTCTCCTCCCCACTCTCTACTCCCTCCTCTCTCCTCTCCTCCCCACTCTCTCCTCCTCCTCTCTCTCCTCTCCTCTCTCATCCCTCTCTCCCTCTCTCTCTCTCTCTCTCTCCTCCCCTTCTCTCCTCCCAACTCTCTCCTCCCACTCTCTACTCCTCCCTCCTCTCTCTCCTCTCCCCACTCTCTCCTCCCCCTCTCTCTCCCCCTCTCTCCTCCCCTCTCTCTCTCCTCCCTCCTCTCTCCTCCCCTCTCTCCTCCTCCCTCTCTCTCCTCCCTCCTCTCTCTCCCTCCTCTCTCCTCCCCTCTCTCTCCCTCCTCTCTCCTCCCTCCTCTCTCCTCTCCTCTCTCCTCCCACTCTCTACTCCCCCTCTCTCCTCCTCCTCTCTCCTCCCTCTCTCCTCCCTCCTCTCTCCTCTCCTTCTCTCCTCCCCCACTCTCTACTCCCTTCTCTCTCCTCCCCTTCTCTCCTCCCAACTCTCTACTCCCTTCTCTCTCCTCCCCTTCTCTCCTCCCTCCTCTCTCCTCTCCTTCTCTCCTCCCCACTCTCTACTCCCTCCTCTCCTTCTCTCATCCCCACTCTCTACTCCCTTCTCTCTCTCCTCCCCTTCTCTCCTCCCAACTCTCTCTCCCTCCCCACTCTCTACTCCCTCCTCTCTCCTCCCCTTCTCTCCTCCCTCCTCTCCTTCTCTCCTCCCCACTCTCTACTCCCTCCTCTCTCCTCCCCTTCTCTCCTCCCTCCTCTCTCCTCCCTCCTCTCTCCTCTCCTTCTCTCCTCCCCACTCTCTACTCCCTCCTCTCTCCTCTCCTGCTCTCCTCCCCACTCTCTACTCCCTTTCTCTCTCCTCCCCTTCTCTCTCCTCCCCTCTCTCTCCTCCCCACTCTCTACTCCCTCCTCTCTCCTCTCCTGCTCTCCTCCCCACTCTCTACTCCCTTTCTCTCTCCTCCCCTTCTCTCTCCTCCCCTTCTCTCCTCCCCACTCTCTACTCCCTCCTCTCTCCTCTCCTGCTCTCCTCCCCACTCTCTACTCCCTCCTCTCTCCTCTCCTCCCCACTCTCTCCTCCCTCCTCTCTCCTCTCCTTCTCTCCTCCCCACTCTCTATTCCCTCCTCTCCTTCTCTCATCCCCACTCTCTACTCCTTTCTCTCCTCCCCTTCTCTCCTCCCAACTCTCTCCTCCCCACTCTCTACTCCCTCCTCTCTCCTCTTATGCTCTCCTCCCCACTCTCTACTCCCTCCTCTCTCCTCCCCTTCTCTCCTCCCTCCTCTCTCTCCTCCCTCCTCTCTCCTCTCCTTCTCTCCTCCCCACTCTCTACTCCCTCCTCTCTCCTCTCCTGCTCTCCTCCCCACTCTCTACTCCCTCCTCTCTCCTCCCCTTCTCTCCTCCCTCCTCTCTCCTCCCTCCTCTCTCCTCTCCTTCTCTCCTCCCCACTCTCTACTCCCTCCCTCTCCTCTCCTGCTCTCCTCCCCACTCTCTACTCCCTCCTCTCTCCTCCCCTTCTCTCCTCCCTCCTCTCTCCTCTCCTTCTCTCCTCCCCACTCTCTACTCCCTTCTCTCTCCTCCCCTTCTCTCCTCCCAACTCTCTACTCCCTTCTCTCTCCTCCCCTTCTCTCCTCCCTCCTCTCTCCTCTCCTTCTCTCCTCCCCACTCTCTACTCCCTCCTCTCTCCTCGCCTTCTCTCTCCCCACTCTCTCCTCCCCTTCTCTCCTCCCTTCTCTCTCCCCACTCTCTCCTCCCAACTCTCTCCTCTCCTGCTCTCCTCCCCACTCTCTACTCCCTTCTCTCTCCTCCCTTCTCTCTCCTCTCCTGCTCTCCTCCCCACTCTCTATTTCCCACTCTCTCTTCCCCTTCTCTCCTCCCTTCTCTCTCCTCCCAACTCTCTATTTCCCACTCCCTTCTCCCCTTCTCTCTCCTCGCCTTCTCTCCTCCCCTTTTCTCCTCCCCACCCTCTCCCACTCTTGTTGTCTTGTGCCACGTGCTTGCTCCAACACAAATGCCTTGATGGGCAGTTAAATGCAGGGGTCGGGGGTTAAATGAACACCGTTGTTTATGAGGATGCGCCGTGAATCCATTTGCATTCTAATATTGGCTCTATTCTGAAAGACGCCCATACACACGCATCCAGGGCCAGTTACGGGCAAATGGGGAGGTGGGAGTGGGGGGGGGGGGTGTAGAGGGGAGGGGCAGAGATGACTGGTGGACGGCTTGTTTTAAAATCCCATTATCAAGTTATTTATGGAATTCATGGCCCTACCACCCCCGTGACCTTGTTTTGTTAAACATGAACGAGACACGATTCCGGCACATGGCGCTGCCTATTAGCTTTTGTTTTCAATAGCCTTAAAATGTCAGCAACTTCAATCACCCTTGGGCAGCGTGTTCTTGTGTGTTTTGGCCCTACGCACACAGGCGCATACACACACACACACACACACACACACACATGCAGTTGTGTGGTGGCTGGACTTGTGTTCACTCAGATTCACTCATTTGGTCTGTAAATAAAAGGCACGTTGGTAATAGTGCAATGGAACCTGGGTCTATCGTCAAATCAAATCCATTTGACTGGTTTCGGAATCACAACGACAGTCAAGGGGCATCGCAGAATGGGCCAGCTCCCAACAGCAGGCGAGTCCTCGGGTTCAGAGAGTCCGGGGTTTCAGACTGGGAAGTAGTCCTTGGGTCCAGGGAGTCCAGGGAGGTCCAGTAGTCCTCAGGTCCAGAGAGGCCAGGGAGGTCCACGGAGATCCAGGGTAACAGCCTGGGGACTAGTCTTCGGGTCCAGGCAGTCAGACAGGGGACTAGTCCTCAAGTCCAGAGAGTCCAGGGTTTCAGACTGGGGACTAGTTCTCGGGTCCAAGGAGTCCAGAGAGTCCAGGGAGGTCCAGTAGTCCTCAGGTCCAGGGAGTCCAGGGTTTTAGACTGGGGGACTAGTCCTCAAATCAAGAGAGTCCAGGGTTTCAGAGAGAAGACTAGTCTTCAGGTCCGGAGAGGCCAGGGTTTCAGACTGGGGACTAGTCCAGGGAGCCATCTCTCCATGGCTTTGCATCAGTCTTCCTGAAAATTTGAGACAGGCTTCTACTCTGACAGTGTTTAAATCCAGGTTAAAAACAGGTTAAAAACAAAAACGGATTCAGTTTATTTGCTATTTACAACCAACAAAATCAACAAAAACAGTTTCAATAACAAGTGCATTGTTCAAACAAGCTGTTAGCATGTCGAGCTAACAGTTCTATTTAGCTGTGCATACCACTAAAGAATTGAATCTTCTTTTGTTTTAAGGTATTGTGGTTAATTAAGATCGCAAATCCTTGAATGATTTAAATGTATTTTCTCGTTGTGTTAAGCACTTTGAGTTGCCTTGTGCGTACACTGTGCTGGACTGTGCATTTCTGGAGATTACGCAGACTGTAACAGAGTCAAAAATGATGGATTTAGATTTTCAGAAATGTAAAACCGAAGTTAAATCCTACGCTAGCAGAGAATCTATTTCCTGTGTATGTACTGAACTCGGCTCTCTCGAATGCAAACTACAGGTAATAACTCCGTGTGGAAGCTGTAAAACGTACCGTGAACGTAAACCCTGTTGAGAAAAGCTGTACGTTTGTCGTCTCATTTGGCGTTTATGCTGGACTAAAGTAGAGAGGGAGCATCTTTGAATAATCCTACTTGAATGTTTACCTATAATGACTCTCCATGACAGCTTAAATACATCCGTGAGGCGTCCGTGTTTAAACAAGGGCATCAGGGTAAAGAGGTGCAGTGGATTTGCATGGATTTCGCCGGGCTGTGTCTTCGGGACCATGACTAGCCATAGTGATTGGGGTCAATTTCAACAAACACAAACACAGACAGGAGTAATGGGGTCTGCTGTGGCCATGCCGTCTGTTAGAGGCCTGTGTTACTGATGGGAGACTAGCTTTACAGCCAAAGTGTATGTAAATGTATGGAGCAGACAAGGTGACGTGACATGGCGGACGTTGTCAGATGTTGTGATCAAAGTATGTATGATATGCACATAGAAGTGGATCCATGAATGTGCATACCGATCTGTCCTTAGATCCTTGCATTATCATATGAACAATTTGTTGTCATTATATTGGAGAGAAACCCAGGAAGACGTGCGTGTGTCATTTAGTTTATACATTCCTTTTCGTTGAGCAAAAACATAAAAAAATGGTTTCAACTTATGTAAAATTGTTTCTCTGGTCCAAGCCATTAAAGGAGCTATACCCGTTTCAGAAAGGTTTGAATGTTTAGCCCCGCCCCCAATTTGCTCACAGGCTTCTCATTTCCCCTACGCTCTCATTCCACTGAGCCATCTAGTTTTATTTGCGATCTGATATGTATGCTAACATTAGCATTAGCGCAACTTCTTGTAAGCTGTACAACAATCACTGATGAAATGGTACAAAAGCAACGCACTGCTAACACAATATATAACTGAAAGATTACCGCTAGTTCCGCGTACCGTTTAGTCCGAGCGTAGATAGTCCGAGCGTAGATAGTGCGAGCGTAGATAGTCCGAGCGTAGATAGTCCGAGCGTAGATAGTGCGAGCGTAGATAGTCCGAGCGTAGATTAGATAGTCCGAGCGTAGATTAGATAGTCCGAGCGTAGATAGTCCGAGCGTAGATAGTCCGAGCGTAGATTAGATAGTCCGAGCGTAGATAGTCCGAGCGTAGATAGTCCGAGCGTAGATAGTCCGAGCGTAGATAGTCCGAGCGTAGATTAGATAGTCCGAGCGTAGATAGTCCGAGCGTAGATAGTCCGAGCGTAGATTAGATAGTCCGAGCGTAGATAGTCCGAGCGTAGACAGTCCGAGCGTAGATTAGATAGTCCGAGCGTAAATAGTCCGAGCGTAGATAGTCCGAGCGTAGATAGTCCGAGCGTAGATAGTCCGAGCGTAGATAGTGCGAGCGTAGATAGTCCGAGCGTAGATAGTCCGAGCGTAGATAGTCCGAGCGTAGATAGTGCGAGCGTAGATAGTCCGAGCGTAGATAGTGCGAGCGTAGATAGTCCGAGCGTAGATAGTCCGAGCGTAGATAGTCCGAGCGTAGATAGTCCGAGCGTAGATAGTCCGAGCGTAGATAGTCCGAGGCGGTCCCGCAGGTCTCTCCCTCAGACCAGTCTCTCCAGAGGATACGATGTAAGCTAGCTCTGTTCAGGGCTTGGTTTCTTCTTTGATCATGTTGTGGCTTTAGTTCCTCTTCTCTTCCTCACTGTTGTGTGGTTTGGGCTGTTTTGCTGTGTCTGCAGTTACAGCCAGAGGAGTTATAGCCACTTATGCTAACATGCTACTGTGTTTAGCAGCGCTGTAGAGGCTAGAGGACGCAGCCTCGCTCTGTGATTGGAGGAGAGCGGGCGTCACGCTAAGTCTCTACTCGGCACTTTTTACTGCCTGAATTCATAAACAGCTGAATCAATGAGCTCAAGTTTTACATTCAATTACGGATTATCATACAACTTGTATGTAGTTATAAGCATTTTTATGAACTCATTAGAAAATAAATCGGGTATAGCATCTTTTACCTTGGCTTCCCTTGAAATATAATTCTCAGTGATGATACTAATATTTTGGACCTACAGAGGGAAAATTACCAGTATATTTGTTGCTATATTTTCAAGGTTGGAATTTTATTGATATTTTAACATTGAAATCCCCCCAGGGTCTTCTTTGGTTGAAGCTGGAGTGAGGAGCCAATGAGATGAAGAGTGATGTTCCACTAATGAGGTGGTGATGATGAGGAGGCGGGTTGCTGCACGAGCTGAAATCGTAAGTGTCAGAATGTGAGACTGTGTTTATTTGTTGATTAACTGATTAACAGTGTGTAGTAGTAAGAGGATGGACCATAGTGACCACGGGGGATAGTTAGTCTTCTGGTCTGGACTGGTCTGGTCTTTGATAGTTCCATAACCACTAAATTGACCTGTGTTGGACTGAATGATGGGATAAGGTTTGTATTTTCAATTTTAACGTCTGTTTGAGCAAAAACATGATGCTATTTCATACTATAACTACAGTCTAGATTCTGGTCACTTTTGTTAGCTTTGGTCACCAGTCTATGTTCACCACAGTAAACAAATATACAAGTGCACACCATCGTTTCTTAGACTTGCTGCTTTTGTAAATAATCAGATTGTTTGCTAAATATTCACTGGATCTAAACAAGTTGAATAAATCCCTGGAACTCTGGCTCGTCAGAATAAATAGCTTCTAGTACATTTTCAAATCAAATATGTTTAATGAAGCTTACAACTTTTATAATTCCTTATCTTAAGTCCATCAAAAGCTGTCTTACAGTTGTTCAACATTGTATCAATTGATAATCTCTCTCTTGTTATTTGAAAACCTAAGCAACGCTGCTGGCTGGCTGTAAGTATTTGAAGAGGGCAAAGTAAATCCAGCCACAGACTGCCCCTGTGTGTTTTCCATTATTCAGCGAGGCCCCAGCTGTGGGGCATACAAGATTAAATCCCCTCTCGCTGCATATGCCGGCTAAAAGACTTGAACGACGGCGTGGGCCACAGCCACCAGGCAAAAACTGTCCACAACAACAACAGTAAAGCCGCCTGTGCTCTCCTCGATACTTGAGCCCTTTGAGCAGATCCAACCTGCCCCATTACCATTAGTGATCAAATGTGGCAGCTATAGGTTTGCCACGGGCCAAACATGCCTGCTCAATGTCAATCCATTTCATATCGGCGAAAATATAATTAAGGGTGTTGGAAGTGAATGAGTTATCCTTGAGTTTGTGTGCACCATGCAGCCTCGGCAAATGAACCACTAAATTAATCACACGCTCAAACATGATTCCACTTTCATCCAAAGGAAATACAAAGTAGTCAACACTCGTGGCTGACTCCTGCACGGTTTTATCGTAATTAGACGTTTATTGCATAAGAATGTGTCACCGCAGAGCCAGTCCATCCTGCTGGGTTTGTGTTTTTGTTGATTTTGTTTGTTCTCCCCGTGCTTCGGTTTCCCCACCACAGTGCCTCAGTTGGTAGAGCATTGGCCTTTGAGCCTGAATGTTGTGGGTTCAAGCCCATCACGAGACCTTCTCCACCAACTCCCGCTGCTGTCCTTGTGTCCTTGGGAAAGACACTTAGCCCTGCTTTGCCTGAAGCCCCCGCGGAAAGCTCAAGGCTCCTGTGGACTCAGCACCTGCAGGAGGATCAGTGAGGGGCTGGTGTAGCTCTGACTGCCACCCCCCGACCCAGAAATGGATTAAGGGGAAGAAAATGGATGGATGTGGTATATATGACGGCCGCAATTCAACCATTTGACACAGAACATTTTGATAAAGTCCAATCCGCACGACCCAGTGACTTGCAGATCAGCAAACGGAAAACTCAAATGGCAAATTCCAGGAAGCTTTTTCTTCATGTATTTATCTCTGTGTCATCGTTTCAGCACAAGAGTAAAGACTTCCCTTATGTCACAGAGCTTAGTCCATGGAGCTGGTATTGGAGCCGCTTGTTCCTCTCTCTTGGAAGCACCTCTGGGGATATTGTGTGTGTGTGTGTGTGTGTGTGTGTGTGTGTGTGTGTGTGCAGGGGCTGGCACTGCCCGCTGTAGTCCCCGGTGGAGTGTTGGCCCCAGGCAGCACACGCTAACATCAAACCATTCTTTCTCTTTATGACTTATTTATCTATCCAACTCCCAACTCGCGGTGCGATAGTGCGGCCCCTGTGCATTCGTCATCAGCGCTGGTTTGTTTTTGCTCGAGCGCCTTCCCTGGTGTTGAGCACAGACATCGGGAGGTTGGGGGGACTAGTCTGGGACCCCCCTAGTCTCTTTGCTCCCACCTCCGATGTGTTCAAAAGAGTACAGGAACCTCCCTCGTCGCGGCCTAACTACCATCCCAGCGCGGGAGCAGACACGACAGCGCATAAAAGTGAGTGTGGGAGAGGGTTTATTGGTGGTGTCACTGTGGGGATGGCAGTGATTGGAGCAGACTGGGATCCTGGAACGCACCACGGGAGAGCTTCACATGAGGAAGGTTCACATGTACACACGTAACTGTGGGGAATGTGATGTTGAAGAGATAAAAGGAAAGAAAAAAGTGTTTGAGCATTTGTGGGATGTTGCTTTTAAGGCAGATGCATCAGTGTGAGTTTGTCAAGCTCAGTCTGTGGATACACTGTAAACGCTGTGTGTGTTTTGGGGCGACAGACACACAACAGGTGTGTAGCTCAGAGCACTGTTTTCATCTATTTCATTATAACACATTTGAGTTGTTTGTTATTAAAACATGATATACATTAAAAACATAGCGATCTCACAGTATGACGTGAGAACACCTTTAACACCAAAGCATGTGTTTTTGTTTATCATTACTGCTCACATGACCTTTACACTGATCATCAAGTCATGGCTTTGCTCATTTTCTCTCTTTTTTCGATTCTATAGACTGCTGTATTTGATGCATGGATGGATCTGTCCATGTATTGGTCTGTATTTGTCTGTGCTGTTACATTTGTCACTGAGGCTTTCAAAAGGAAATAAAAAGTATAAAAACATGATGAAACTGCAGACTCCTGGTGCTGCACCATCGTCCACATGAAAAGGATCAAACACAAACACAATGCTGTCTTCTCTTTCTGTTTATTGTCTTTCTCAAGAGTAACAAAGCCCCTAACATTATAACTACAACAATATAAAAGCTTTCTTACTGTTGACCTCATGACACAGTTTTAGCACCTTTCTAAAGTGCATGTGAGTCTGACTTAGATTGTTTTAGTTCAGCACTCTGTGCTGCATTTGCAATTCTTGATTAGTCACCTCTCTGGCACTTCTTCTTCTGCAGCGGCACAACTCCCAGAGACAATCAGCGCTCCTACCTACTTTACCTGTGATGAATCGCATTACTGTGGTCTGAGAGGCGAGCCAGCCCCTGGCTGAAAAATCAGCCAACTAAAGCAGGCGGACGGGAAGCAGCATGGCAGAGCACTTTGTCCAGACACCTCCCCCTCCCTCCAAATGAATATCCAGCCACGTTCTGCACAAAGTGCATTAGGCACAGAATCATTAGTACTAATGGGCTCATGATACTTGTGTGAGTAAGAGTGTGGTGGGAGGGGCCTGTGCCCACCTAACCCAGCCCCCCAGCCTGTCTCCCTCTCTCCCCCTGCACCCCTCCATGCCTGTGGAGAAGACAGGGTGCCCCCCTGCCCCTTGTCCTCTCCTGCTGCGATGGGAAAGTGCATCCTCATTTAATAATGTATCAGAGAGAAGACAGGCAAAGAGAGGGAGCTCTGACCCAGACCAATGCAGCCTCTCCATTATTTAACATTAACAGACACCTTCCAGCTCATTTCAGACTCAATATTTAATATCACAGAGGGAGGGGCTACTCTCTGAGACACACCCTCTTTATGCTGCCAGTGTGTGACACCCTGACTAATCATTAAAAAATATTAAATATAGTAAAGGCCGAGCAGATACAAAATGAATCAAGTGTTTGTATTGTCAGCTGGATGATGGTTCGTGTTGGAGGTGAGAGGTTCACGACTCTCTGGGAGGATCCCGGTGGAGCTGGACTTTCATGGAAAAGCCGGATTCTGATTCGTCAATATGCTTCATTCAGCCAATGGCCTTGTAGCCACGGGATCAGCAGTACCTCACGTCTAAAGGCTGCTGTCACTGCGAAAGAGAGAGAGAGAGAAAGTGAGGGTTATTTTGTGGATGTTTTTATCCATGAAAACTGGAGTTGTCTCTGTGCGTGATGTAAATTACAGACAGTGAAATGATTCTTATTCCAGACTTAGCTGAGGCTGCACAACATGTTTTATTGCCTTGTTTGACCAATACAGGCTGCATGATTAGGCATCTGTCAATCAATTCTGTCTCCACCTGACCTTACTATTGCATTTGTCTGAAGCTATTACAGAGTGATCATTTTCACACAACCAAATTAGTCCAAATTGTGTGTAAAAGCAGTTTTTCACGCCTCCAAAACAGACAAAGTTCTGCCTGGCGCCTTCCCTCCCTCCTATGACCTGATTTTATGCTTATTGTTTACTCCATTAGGCTCATATTGATTACACTGCAAAGGCAGCTAAAACCAGGCCCTTGTTTGTTTCTCGCTGAACGTGGGTTACTAATATATTCATTTGTGAGCAAACTGCGACTCCACACAAACAAATCAATGGAAAGTGTGTGTGCAAAAGTTTCCGAGCGCCGTTAGGTGCGGTTCACAGGTTGGGGAGTCAGCACCACCTTTTCTGGCAAGTACAAAATAAGTTTGCACCGTTTGGGAAATGTGTTTAGCAGTCGGCCTAATTCCTATTAAATATTTATCACAATTCCAGAGACGGTTTTTATTTTTTTTTCTTAATTGCGTGTCACATAACGGTTATGCCTGCATGACTGTGGATTGCTGAATGCTTCCAGTTTACAGTAAGGGAGAAGATGCATATTTATGAGTCTTTAAGTGGAGGCTCTTATTCACACTGTATTTGTTCTTTAATCAGAGCCTGCTGTTGTGATGGGCCAGGCTGTGTTTGTCTATAGACCGCTGGCTCTTAACATGGCATATATGTCATGCCTGTGTATCATTAGGAGAGAGCGGAGGAAAGGGAAGGACGCAGGCTCTTTATATGCAAATGCGTGGCCCCGGTGTGTCAGGCCTCACCTCTGTACCTCTGACAACAGAAGGTGAGAGCAGGCAGCGAGGGGAGGTGGGGATGCTGCTTAGCTTAGCATAGCATTCTGTTATTGGGTGATTGTAACCGTAAATCGGATATGAAATCACCAACATTCTGCCAGAGATGCATAAATGGGGTTGTCAGTAGTGGGAGACAGGTAAGGGTTGAAATAAGCTTTTTGAAATAAACATATATAACTACCCTAATTCATTCACACCCATTTTCTCGTTTTGAATTCTAGTCCTTTAGCCGTCTTTTGTATAAGTGTAAAACCCGTAAATGTCACTGTATCAATTCACATGCATTCTTATCCCAACAGGAGATCAATCAGCTGTACTTGCAGTGTTTCCCACAGGTTTGAAGGCAATGTGTGGTGGTCGTCGGCGGGGGGGGGGGGGGAGTGGGGTACAGTGGTACAGTGGTAGAGGACAATCTTGAGGTCATGAATCCAGTGAAATTAGTCGCACACCTTTTTACAGTAATAAGTTACAGTAGATCAAAAGTGACATGTTTTGACTATTTTGGAGGTATTTTGGACCAAAATGGCTACTTTACCTCAATATTTCTCAATATTTCTACAGTAAAAGTGTCTGGTCTTTGGTACAGTGGTAGAAGGCAATGTTGAGGTCATGAATCCAGTGAAATCAGTTGCACACCTTTTTACAGTGAAAAGTTACAGTAGATCAAATGTGACATGTTTTGACCATTTTTAGGCTATTTTGGACCAAAATGGCTACTTTAAATCAAAATTTCTACAGTAAAAGTGTCTGGTCTTTGGTACAGTGGTAGAGGACAATCTTGAGGTCATGAATCCAGTGAAATTAGTCGCACACCTTTTTACAGTAAAAAGTTACAGTAGATCAAAAGTGACATGTTTTGACTATTTTGGAGGTATTTTGGACCAAAATGGCTACTTTACCTCAATATTTCTCAATATTTCTACAGTAAAAGTTTCTGGTCTTTGGTACAGTGGCAGAGGGCAATAATAAGGTCATGAGTCAAGTGAAATTAGTCGCACACCTTATTCCAGTAAATAGTTACAATACTTGAAAATTGCACTAGCGGACCAAATTGTGTACTTTATACATGTAAACAATAGAGTGGCTATCCTCCTGAGGACTCACAATCTGCCGGAGGAATCGTAGGGGGCTGGTGCTATGTGTGCCGGGTGGCATCTCTATAAGGTTTTAATCACAAAAACGTGTCTCCCTGACCCCAGCGCGCTTTCTGTTCGATAAAAATGGGTGACTCCGAAAGGACGTTCCGCTGTTACCGTAAGTTCTCAACAAAACGCGCACCGTCTTTTCCCCGATGCGGGCCGCATGTTCATAGAGCTGAAAGATGCGGGCCACTTTTACCGCGGTAAATTAATAGACACAGCTGCTTACAGCGATGATCGCTGATGGAGACGGAGACACGCGGTGTGCACGAAGGGGAGGGGCTGTGTGTGTGTAGGTCTCTGTATGTGGGAGAGACGCGTAGCTTGAGTGAGAGTTACGAAGGGCCGCCACATTTTAAACCCCCCTCCCCGCTGTCAAATTGACCGCTGGGGCGGCACTAGACGATGCATGTTTTAAATAGCGTAACAAAAAAAATATATATATAATAATACGAAACGCAATTTGTGGCGGGCGGTCTCTAATCTGTGGCGGTGCGCCACAGATTAGTCTATGTGTGGGAAACACTGACTTGATTGGGCGGCACGGTGGCTGAGTGGATAGCACTCTCGCCTCTCAGCAAGAAGGTCCTGGGTTTGAATCCCGGTTGGACCAGGGCCTTTCTGAGTGGAGTTTGCATGTTCTCCCTGTGTCTGCGTAGGTTTCCTCCGGGTGCTCCGGTTTCCCCTACCACTAAAAATATGTACAATAGGTCTGGCATGTGCCTCCTGTACTGGCACCCCCACTCCCAAAAATCACAATTGTAAACCGCTTTGAGACTCCGATGTGCAGTAAAAAGGCGGTATATAAATAAAGATTACTTACTTGAATGGGGCACCTCCCTCACAATAGGTCATATGTAACAAAAAAAAAATCGTAAAAAAGCAAAACTAAAACATTTGTGTGAGACTTTTTGAATATTCATCAATGGTTGTTTTTACTTTGGCTCTTGGTCCCAGGTATGTAAATGTCCACTGTTGTAATGAATCCCAGTGTAGGGGCCCCTGCACCTGGCTGTAACATGTGTCTGGACAGATTCCGTCAGTAGTGGACAGGCTGGACGTCTCACATTAAAATGCATGTCCGGTTGTGCACGGCGCCCTCCCTCTCCACACGTATATGTAAGTAAACATGTCTGCCGCTGCCTTTGCAAAGGTCAAACACAGGCTCGGAGAGAGTGTGAGGCGGAGCGGCTCTTTCTCTCTCTCTGTGTGTAAGAAAAACACAAGGAATTACAGTTTTTGATCATTTCTCACTGATATCTCACGATTTGATGCAGTCTACGTTGCCTTTATTCTCTCACTTAATTTTCCTCACATTTGCTGATTCACAGTCAGGGAAAGGGTCCAGTGCTTTATGAAATATAATGCTGTTTGGTGATTTTGTTTGCGCATTGTCACATAAATGGCTCCGTCTGATTTGGTCCATTCTGATAAACTGTAAGATTTAAATTTGCTCATAGTAGGAAACCGACTCAAAACGTTTCTTCAAAGAGAGTTCTACTGGATATATATTCTTCCTTCCTTTGAGACCATTGAAGATATTTTTGTACATTGCAATGCCATTAGGTGTGTACATAATTTTTTGTTGTTGGGAGTTTCAATATTTTCTCCAGTTTTTAAAACCTTGTGACTTTTGTCCCGCCCACTGATCATGTGACAGGTACCATTCTGTTTAAATCTGCCCTGAGACACTCCTCTCGAGTCTGCCCTGAAGAAGGCCAGAGGCTGAAACGTATAGGCAGAATTTTAACATCTTTTGCCATGTGTAATGGAGGCGTTTAAAGATTTTTGATTGTATTTTAAGTGAAGGGTTTGTGGCAGGAAGGGCTGGCTAGCATACAGGCTCATCCTTCAAAAATGGGTTTGAAGGCATCACAGCAAGAAGGCCATGGGTTTGATTCCAAGGACTGTGTAGGGTTCAGTGGTCTCTCGTTTATCGTAGGAGTTATGTTCTATAAATAACCCGCAATAAGCGAAATCCACAAAGTAGAAGCTAAAGATTCTAAGTCTGTGAAACCCCTCACTGCACACTTTACACACTTTTCTAACCACCTGAACTCACGACTGCTGAAGGGCAATCTTAGATGGTTTCTGGTCTGAGCGCTGCTGCAGCTGTCAAAAGCTGTGCATACACTGTAAAATACAGATACAAAGGACTGTGGTAGTCCTCTAAACTAATCTCATGTCATTTTCTTCCCCTTTATTTACCCATTTCTTGGTCGGGGGTGTTGTCTCATCTGTCATCGGATACATGGCTTTGGTCTTCAGTGGAGGTCTTCTTTTGGTCTTCAGTCTTCAGTGGAGGCTTCAGGCAAAGTGGGGTTAAGTGTCTTTCCTAAGGACACAACCACAGTGGACATCAGTGGGAGCAGGTGACATGGGTTAAGGGGGGATCGAACCCACCACCATTA